TTTAGTTTTCTGTTGTATATGCCTTCCCATAACCCTTTTCTAAAGATAAAATTACTAAATAAACCTTCTCAGATTATTTTATATAAAAGGCTCTACACAAAAACAACCAGTTACATAACAACCTAAAATTATTTTTACACCTTTATTTGAAAATTGAATTACTGCATTATGTAAGAATGCCTCCTTGATTATTTTTTAAGGATGCATTATTATGTCAGTCGGAATAAAATGCTTGAAATTTGATTTCCACAGATTTTTTTATATCCAACTATGAGCCATTTCCTAGATACTCTATTAATGCTTTATGTAACAAGTTGTTACTTTCTCTAACATTCTACTTGTTTATGTCTATCGCTGGGAATATAATCAAGATTTTCATTTAATTTCAATGACATTCCAAACACATCTATCAAGTTTATACAAAACAACATATCAAACAATTGAAATACTGTCATACTGGGTGCAAAACTACTGAGGTTTATTTTCTTTTTATTTCACCATTAAGTATATTTCCCTCATTATTTAAAGATTGTTAATTATTCTCCTTGACATGTAAAGTATAATTTCAAAATTAGATAAGATAAAATTGATAGTGTTTTAGAGATGTCTTTTCATACCTAGAGATACTGTAAACTACTATTCTTATTTAATGTAGCTTAGGCAACATCCAGAAAGTTTTGTCCTTGTCAGAAAAACTTTTGCAGGCTATTTTACACTCAAATTGTATTAATATGTTGCATTATTATTTTTAGCTCAAAAGATAGCACCACCCAAGTTGAAAATTTTGGTATCATCCCCACCTCTTATCAGCGTTAATTAGGCCCTGAAAGGAAATATATTGACCCTTAAACTTTTTAGTTGTAACACAGTGCCTGCCACATAGTAGGTGTACTTATTAAATGTTGGGGAATTAAATAGAATTTTAATTTGATGTGCCTCAATGAACTAAAGAGATGTTTTATTATAAAGTATCTCTTTTTACAACAGAAAAATTCTACCAGGTTATTCCCCTGACCATTTGCCTTTAAGTACATGTGATAAATAATTTCATTCTGCTTTTCTAACTTTCCTTCAAAGCCCTGGAAAAAGAAAGTGAAAATATTTTTTTAAAAACAACCCAGTACGGTATTTATTTTAGCATTCCGACTGGCTAATACATAAACTAAACATTATTGCTACATTTCAAAAAAAATAGTATTCAACTAGTTATCGTCATTGTTTTTGGATCTGTAATGCTCAAAAACTCTACTATAAAGCATATTCACTCTTCTTGGCATTCTCAATAACTTTATTATGTTTATCTCAAACTTTTGTGAATAGCATGTTTTTCTCAAGCATTGGGGAAAGAGAGTGCATTTTGGTTTGAAGCAGTACTCCTTTTTTGGCCAAACCTTTGTTCTGCATTTTGATTAAAACATATGCAACTATAATATAAATTGAATGCATAAAAGCAAATGTGGTTCCTGCATTATCAAAGATCTGTGAAGTTTGGAAAATGTGCTAGATAGGAATGTGCTAGTAGGAACATCAAATGTATACACCTGCTCAGAGAAATTATATTGTATATGAACCCAACGTTTGTTACCCAGTGAAAATTAATTTCATTTTTATGGGAGACATTTACATAAGAACAAGTCCTAATGAGACCCAAACAGCTGTCAGTCGCTGACTTCATAAACAAATCAACACCTAATGGCTGAACGAGTTTCAGAATAATTGGGTAAATGTAATTACAGGAACTCTGAAGGTGGAAAATACAATTTAGTCAGCCTTCATTTACCTTGATTCTTCAGGTTACCTAACTATCAAGAGATGACTCAATGCTATTTCATTTTAGTCTTCAACTTTATATGGGCAAAAAAAATGAATTAAAGAGTTGAGTTTCGTTACTTTTGGGAATCCGTAGAGTTTGGATTTTAAATACAAGCCAACTTCATTTCGTGACCTACACAGCAGTAGTTCCACTTTCAGACTCAGTCCAAGGTATACAAGATTTTCATCCTAAGATTACTTATTTTTAAGAGAGCGAGAAAGAAGAAGAATAAGCAAATTAAGTATTTGTACTGAGGGCAGAATTTAGCAGTGAAGCAGCTGCAAATCGGCGAGATCACACCTTGTCTTCTCACATGTGACCAGCTGGAGATCACTCACAGGACTAATTTTTTTCTCACTAAAGCTGAAGCCAGTATTCAACCTTTTTCCTGTCTTTTCTCTTAATTAACATCAGCACATTGAACTGTGGGTTGTAATTTTAAATGGAATGGTTCACTTTAAACTTTTTATCTTAAGGAAATTTTTTTCCAAAAGATCTTAAGATGCATGTAAGGACGAATTTACTTAGAAAAAAGAATTTTGAATGTGTCTGTATGTGACTGCTTAGAAGCATAAATAAAGTATGTAATCTAGGACAGGTTTCTGAAACCACCCCACCCCTAGTTTAATGTTTGAAGTAACAAAATCTCAAATTAATGTATGCCATGGATTTTGTATAGGTAGGTAACTATAAAGAAAATAAATTGTCACCTTGGTCAACACAACACCAGAAGAATCATCCTATTTGAGGTTGAGAAGGAGTATTAGAGATCAGTTTCCCCAAACCTTTTATTTGAGAGGTGAAAAACTAGAAGCCCTTGAAGGCTTAAATTTCCCACTAAAGGTCACACAGCTGATAAATTGTATAACCAGGGTCCTGGGGGTCTTGTCCCACACACCCTAGTACATTCTTCACTCCATTACCTACACAAGTTAGAAGCAGCCTGCCCTTTCCTCATCTGTTCATCTACTCATTGACTAATTTTTTAGCAAACTTTTTTTAAGAACCTACTTTATTCTGTTCCTGTACAAACTATTGAGACAAAAGATATCCCAGTTCCCAAAGAGATCACAGTCTAGTCACCCGTGGCCCTAAACTTAACTCATATTGTAATTAATCTTAAAAGAATAAAATCAACTCTCTTTTTCTTGGTAACAAAGTGCATGAGTCTTATTTACTTCGGGCTCTGTGCTCTAAGACAATGTATCTACTTTTATAGTAGGCTTTTCTAAAAAACATTTCTTAGAAATTGTGATGGCCATTTGATTACAAATATAAACCTGTTACCATAAAGGAGGTAGCAAATTGGTCCCATTGTATGTCCTGTGAAAAGCACTGATATGCCACAAACCTATGTCTTCTGGATACACTTAAGTGAGTCCTGAAATTATCCTACTAGGAATGAAAATGCAACCTATTAGCCACAGATCATTGATAAAATAAACAATGAAGACTTAGTCTGAATTTTAACAGTCTGTTATGTACTTAGGGAGTACTTAATATGTGGGTAATTGATGCAATAGACTTTAATGGATCATTCAGAGCCATTAAGATCAAGTCTGTATATAGTGTGCTT